TCATTTATAGCTTCAATTTCCCTGTTAAGACTGATATCATAAGCTGACAAAGCATCAACCTGTGCAATCTCATCTGCTATTTCTTCTTCTATCTCCGAAATAAAAAGGGAAGGTTATTGAAATAACCTCAAATTGTTGGTCAAATACAAATCTACATTCCTCTTTCTCTCTCATCAATTTTTTTAAAAACCAACCATAAAATTCAACTTATTTACGGAAATGCCATTAACTTATTTACGGAAATGCTATTAACTTATTCAGACATTCAAAACTATCAAATAAACAGCCAAATATATCAACTTATTTACGAAAATACCATTATCATCAATATTTCCAACTACCATGAACCAAAATCAAGCTCTAAATACTTCCCCAACTGATTTTACGTGGATAAGAGCTTCATTTGTGAGCTCATTACTTCTTCCTCACCCTTTTCCTCTCCAATTTCATCCAAAAACCTATCTAAATTTGGTTTTCAAAATTCTTTCTCTCATAATCTATCGATTTTCAATGGTTCTTGCATAAACGATGGCTGGGCTTCTTTGTTAACGGTCAGATTAGAAGTTTCAGGTGCTTCAAGGAGCTGAAAACCGAGCTCTACGGCGGAAACGAAGCTGAAAACCGTGTTTTTCGATCTGTTTCGCGATAGTAGACTACATAAGAAGTCTGCTAGTTAACGAAAGGTTAGATTTGCAATTGATTTTTTTTAAATATTCAAAGCAGACTACTCGTGAAGTCTGTTTGTTTTCCTTTGATAACAAAAAAAACACTCGTAGACTTCACATCAAGTCTACTTGAAAATGGGTTAGTTTTGCATTTGACCAAAACTTTGACTTTATAGAGCAGATTTTTGGTGGAGACACTGGAGACTGCAGATAGAGTCTGCTCCGTGGTTATTCCTGGCATTGACCAGATTGTTGAATTTTTGAGTAGACTCCATCAGAAGTCTGTATTGTACGGACGAGTTAGTTTTGCGTTTGACAAAAATCACAAACATTGACCAGGAAAAACATTTATCGGCAGACTTCTTATGTAGTCTGCTATTAATTCATTTAATTAGCAGACTTCAGGAGAGGTCTACTGCTAAATTAATTCGATATTTGGTCAAACACAAAACTAACCTTTTTTAGAATAGACTTCTTGTGCAGTCGACTCACAAAGTCAACAATTTGGTCAATTGCAAAAGTAACCCGTCCATTTTTAGCAGATTTCTTATGCAGTCTACTCATTGCAGCAGACTTCTGGTAGAGTCTACTAAATATCGACGGTTTTCCGCGTATTTAGTAGAATACAAAAGAAGTCTACTGGAAAAATTCAAACTCTTGTCAATTGCAAAAATAACTTTTTTATCTCGCAGATTTCATAGAGAAGTCTGCTGAAAAAAGTCAAACTCTGGTCAAATGCAAAAGTAACCTAATAGACTTCTAATAGAGTCTGCTAGCGTTTGCCGTAATTGCAAAAATAATCCATTGTGTAGACTTCATCTACAGTCTACTAATAGACAGCCGACGCGAGTCTACTGTAGAAGTCTGCTTGTGAAGTCCGCAGATTTAATTTTCTTAGAAATGCATTTAAAACTTATTTATAATGAATTTTTTAGATTTTCTTGCTCCCACATGGGTGTTATCTAATGTGTTTTTTTCTGTGTGAATTTGANATATTTAGGTGCAATATTTATTGTATAAATCAATTTTCTTGTTTGAGTAGTACTTAGCTATTGATGGTAGACGTCTGAGTTAAGTATACTGGTAAACTGTATTTGAAGTCTGTATTATAGTTTTTAATTAAAAAAATCATTTTAAAATTATGTATAATGAAATTTTCAGATTTTCTTCATCTAAAATGTGTGCTAATTATTTTTCTTCCTTGTGGCTGAGTTTGACATCTTCTGTTATAATCCAACTAATTTTTAATGATTAATTAGTCTTTCGCTCTTTCTAGTAGACTGCGTATGAAGTCGACAGCAGATGTTCGAGACCTAATGTGTTTTCTATTTGTTTTTTTTTACAGAGAATGGTTCAGTTAGTTGTTGTCTATGGAGAATGGGCTATTCAAGATAAGGCATGGCAATTTATGGTTGATAATCTTAAAAGAGGGAGACTGTTTTTTTTTTTTAGTGATGATTGCACCCATTGTGATCTTCTTGAGATGGCAAAAGATGAATATAAGGTGGAATCCGACTTGGTGGAGATCACTTATTCACTACTGGAGTCAATGTTGCAACATATGGCACCGGATACTCCTCCAATGCATGTCACAAATGATAGACAAGTTCAGAATTTGATCGAGCTAAGTAGAGCGCATGTTATANGTCTTTGTGTCTCGATTCGGTTGGAGATGGATTGTGATGTCAACAATGATTGTGATGGAATTTTTGACAGTGGTTGTGAAGAATATACAGACGTAGATGCTGAGGAATACGAG